ACCCTGACACACCCCCCCCTCCCCACACCAGCCACCCCCTCACCATCCGTAGACGCCGGGGGGGCCACGCTGTCACCAGCGGCCCCATCCTGGGGGGGTTCTGCGGAGGCCAGGGAGTCACGGGGGGGTCCTGGGGGAGCCCCCTCCCGCAGCTGCCGGTTTTCCTCCTCCAGTCCCTCGATCTGTGCACACAGCTGGGACCCCCACCCAGGTCAGGCACCCGTGGGACCCTCAGGCCCGCCCCCCCCAGAAGCAGGGAACCCCCATGGGACCCAAAGAGACCCCCCCCAAGACCCCTCACAAGGTGTTGGGCATTCCCTATGATAACACCGGGCAGCGCCAGGGACCCCGAAACGATACCAAGAGACCTCCCCACACCCTGAAAATGACACTGGGGACCCCCAGGGACCTCCCTGGTAAAGCAGAACCACCCAGATCGACACTAGGGCCCCCCCCAGGAACCCCTAAAATGGTACTAGGAGGCTCAGGGTGACATTACAGCCCCCCGGGATGGCGTGGGGGGGGATACTGAAGTTCCCGGAGAGCCCAGGACCCCCACCTTGGCCAGCTCGCGCAGCAGGGTGCTGTTCTGGAGACGAAAATCGTCCTCCTGGCTCTGGAGCTTCCCCTGCAGCATCCGCGTCTCCCCCAGCAGCGCCTCCACCTCCTGGGGGAAGACCCACCACCGGTACCCTGTGGCTGGGACCCCCAGAACTGCCCCCAGGGCCCCCGCAAATCCCCTCTGACCCCACAGCACCCCCGATAGCGCCCACAGCAAGCCCTGACACCCTCAAACATGGACCTTACAGAAATCTGCACGACTCGGGAACCCCTCAAGATCTCTTGGGACACCCCCGGTCCCCCTAGAGACTCCCCAGGGACCACCCAGGATACTTAGAAACCCACCCAACATCCCTAGAAACTCCCTAAGCCCCCCTAGCACCCTTGTAGGCACCACAAAGACCCTGTGAGCATTCACAGGGACCCCCCCAGCACCCCTAGAAAGCTCCCAGGATCCCCCAGCACATCCGCGGACCACCCCAGTGTCCTCAGAGACCCTCTAGGGCCCCC